TGGAAAAATGGGAAAATTATAATTAGAATTTAGGTCTCAGAGTGCCATTTCCGGCAATCTAGAAGTGTCATAATCATAAATTTTCTTTACTCAGCCCCAACCATGGTGGGGCTGATGTGATGTACCCTCCCAAATTGTACAAGTCCCTCCCTGTTCCCCTCCATTTTGCTTTCCTCTTGAAGCCGCAACTGATAATGACAAATTAAGTAAATCACCTTTATGTTTGTGAAATCAAAATGCTAACTAATATTTTGTGTGCTCCCTATCTCCCTAGTCACAATAGTGTAGTCGCAATATTGCTTACACAAAAGTGAAATTCAAAATGATGAGAAAAGCAAAAACCTCTTACTTGATTTAAAAGTACTGTAGGCCTACATGCAAAAAGACTAAATTTATGACTGTTTTAAGTTTATTTGTTTTTCATGGTTCGAATTTTGAATACGTCACAAGCTAATAAGTAGATATAATAAATAATTATTTTTATGAATGTTTTTGCACGAAATATATAAGCAGGCATATTTACGACTAAAAGGATAATTTTAAAAAACTTTTATGATAAGTATTTCAGTGGCAGATTCAAGGGGCCCAGCCGACCCACCATCCCTAAGTTCGAATTTTAAAAGTGGATAAAAATGAAAATTATATTTAATTTAAGTCTGAGAGTGCCATTTCCGATGCAACTAGAGGTGCCATAACCATAAATTTTCTTACCTCAGCCCCAACCATGGTGGGGCTGAGGTGGTCTACACTCTCCATCTGCAAAAGTCCTTCTCTAGGCTCAGCTCTCTGTTTCAAATTGCTGGATCCACCACTGGATATTTTGAAAATTTCGTATGGAAATAAATGTTAATTGCATTGCTTAAAATCAATTAAAAGGCTATAGGCGCGAGAGCTTTCGGGTGCTTCTCCCCCTGGTCCCAAACTAAGGCTTGGGCCATTTCGTCCCCCCCCCCCAATTAACCACGAATCGACGCCCTTGGTAGGCCTACACCCGACACTTTAATTGCTATGAAATAACATGTTTTCAAAAGCATTTAGGCCAACAGTGCATTGATCTAACTACAGAAACAAGTTTTAGCGAACTTACTTTATTTAAAAAAAAATCAAGATTGTTCAGATGGAATTTTGAGAAGGAAGGCATAATGCGGTCCGCGCCCCGTACAAGTGATGCCTATGATATGATGTGCCTATGGTTGCTTTAAATATGTTATATTATACAATCTGGTTCCGGCCAGTTGCCACCCGTGTCCACCCGTGTCCACCCGTAGCCACCCGGCAATTTTGCCACCCGGCACTTTGCAAACCGACCCGTTGCCACCCGGAGTTTCTCCCGACCTTTACCACCATAGGCCCGTTGCCAACTGGCTTTAGCAACCCGACAATAATTATTTGTTAAATTCCATATTTACAGTCAAATTGAGGGGCGTTTATTTGAGTACTGTATATACGTATCCATTTTACACCAAAAAAATAAACGCCTCCCTGGAAAAAAAAATAGGCCATGTGCTAAATGATTGATGGTCATTGCAATGGTATTTAAAAACTCACCTGAAATGTCAGAGTATGGTTTGATTTAATTGGTGAAGATGTTGTGTGGTGCCATAATGATGCTTGATATGGGTTGTGAGTGTCATTTACTGGTAAACAGTGACATTTGGATTTCGAATTTGATTCGGTCATAATGTTTTGCAGCCAAAAACTGCTGTTCGATTTTTTTTTTATATTCATTGTGGTCCCATTATAAAATCTAACAACCAGATGATTTGTATCTTGTATCTGCAATGAATAATATAATTTTGTGATTGGTAATCTTCTCAAGGAAAGGTAAAAGAAAATGTTTACATTTTTGCTAAGTAATTTAACAATGATCGAGTACTACCGTATCAAAAAAAGTTCATTATTGCTAATCAATTTAACAATTAGTACTATAAAAAAAAATTCAAATTCTGCCTTAAACAATTTCTAGGGTAGTGATTATGCTTTAGGTTATTAACCGTTACACCAATGGTACCTTACACCAAATATTTCAATTTTCACTAACTTACACTTCTGTAATGAACAAATTGATATCAATAAGAACAATTATAAGTAGTAAATTGCTAGTGGTGAGATATAAAATTAAAATTAAAAAGAGCAATTTA